TTTTTTTTTGAAAACTAGAGAAAAAAACACAATTTAAAAAAAAACGTTTTGTTTGGATTACACAGCCACACAAAAAAAAAAGTACCCGGATTGGGGGATCAGACCACACTTTCTTTATGTATTTTGGTGCGCTGAACACGAATTTGAATCCGTTTTGCTCCATCACGTCAGGATTTCTTCCTAACCTCAAAAAACATGTCGGATTTTATGTAACAGGCAAACTTTTTTAAATAATGACGGATTGGCTTGAATCTTGTTACTCGGGGGTTTTTGGGGTCGCTGTTTAAGAATTTAACGTTAGATTTTCAAAATTCAAAATGACGGATCCAAAATGGCGAACAAATTTTTAAAAAGTAGTTGGATTTTTACTAAACTTAGTCTGGGGGTTTTTGGGATCGCTGATTGCGAATTTAACGTGAGATTACCAAATTCAAAATGGCGGATCCAGTATGGCGGCCGAGTTTTTAATAAAATTCACATTTTCTTTAAAATTATTATTTGTGAGTTCTTGATCTTAGATTAAGTGCAATGGAAAATTATTTTAAATAAAAGTAGACAGGACCGTCGGCATTAGCATTACCCGATGTACACCACGAGGAGGTTGCACGAGCGAATTTGTACATCATGTAACTCTTATAAAAGCTGTTTGGTATTGCAAATTACATAAATGACGGCACCAAAGCCATTATCCAGGGACTCAGCCGGATAGCGGGATTTCTCCGTTGCCCACCGTCACCGCGAGGAGGTGCCCTGGATGCAGACACACATGAAACATAAAGATATTCCACCACCGTACTAGATCCGTCATTGAATTTTGATGATCTGACGTTAAATTCGTAATCAGCGATCCCAAAAACCCCCAGATACCAAGTTTAGTAAAAATCCAACTACTTTTTAAAAATTTGTCCGCCATTTTGAATTTTGAAAATCTAACGTTAAATTCTTAAACAGCGACCCCAAAAACCCCGAGTAACAAGATTCAACCCAATCCGTCATTATTTAAAAAAGTTTGCCTGTTACATAAAATTCGACATGTTTTTTGAGGTTAGGAAGAAATCCTGACGTGATGGAGCAAAATGGACTTCAAATTCGTGTTCAGCGCACCAAAATACATAAAGAAAGTGTGGTCTGATCCCCCAATCCGGGTACTTTTTTTTTTGTGGCTGTGTTATTTTTTGCAAAGTTATAGGCATTTGAAAATTGCGAATTTTGAAAAATACGAATTTTGAAAAAAAAATCATATCTCATAACTACGTTGATAAAAAAATTTGAAAAAAATTATGGTAGCTTCTTGCGATGGGTACTATAATATATCAAAATTTCAGCAAAATCAAAAATCCAAAAGTTTTGAGTGGCCCACTTGGCATGGAATGACCCATATATGTATATATTTGAAATATATATTTTAAATAAAATTATTTTAAATATTTCCGATTGCTGACTCGTATCATGAATTTAAAAATAAGAAACATATTATAAAATAAATTTTGATAAAAATTTCCTTTTTTACTAAAAACATCTGTTTTAAATAATTTAATTTCTTAAAAATGGAAGTTATAAAGAACGTTTAATTCTTTAAAGAATTAAATTTAAAGAATTACATAACTGGTACTGTACCCTTCGTTTTTTAAATAGTTTTTTATATGACTAAATTGTATATTAATATAATAACAACCACGAAAAGAAATTTTAACATCTGATTATTAATTAAAGATGCCAGTACAAAGTGAACATACATAAAGTGTGTATAGCTTTCGACCGATCGCCTCCGCTTTCCGTTGTTATAGTTTTGTCACATCATCCAAGAGGTACTAATGGCGATGCGTTTTTTAAACATAGACCCCCCGTATTCAGAACGCGCTTACAACGATATTAGCGCTTAAACATGCTATAGTTTATGTTGCGCTTAATAATCATAATATACGCTTTCGCTATCCCCCTCACCTCACTGCTCCGCGCGTAGAACAATGCCATTTGACTGTCATGGTGTTTCGAATGCACACGGTGCGGTGTGATAAGGGGGACAGCGCAATTTTCGGTTGATAGTTTACGTGTAGTTCTCGCTGTCCCCCTCACCTCACCGCTCCGCGCGTAGAACAATGCCATTCGATCATCGTGGAACATTTGGCTGCACGCGGCGAGATGAGGTGGGGAGGGTTGGGCAAATGCAACTTTCAGCTGATTTTCGAATCGCCTTCGTCTAACTTTCGCTGTTCCCGCCACCTCACCGCACCGAGCGCAGAACAATACCATTCGACTGTAATGGGGCATTTGGATTGCACGCGTTGTTTATGTGTAGCTTTCGCTGTCCCCCTCATCACATCGCATCACGGAAACAAACAATGCCATTCGACTGTCATGGGACATTTCGACTGTACGCGGAGCGGTGAGGAGGAAAATGCAACCTTTGGCTGATAACATACTGCGGAAATTTTTTAGAAAACTGTAATATGCAAATTGTAATCTGTTTTACTTATATGTATGTTCATTTTGAATTTGCACCTTGAATGATCTATTATTTACTTTTCGTGGTACATATTCAACATAGAAAATATACTTTATGTATGTTGCAGTTATTTTCTAGAACACTGTAATATTTTTATTGTAATATGTTTTACTTATATGTAGGTATGTTCATTTTGAATTTGCATCTTGAATCTATCATTTACTTTTCGTGGTACATTTTAATATAAAGTGTTCTAGGTAGCACAATGTGTCTTCTATATTAGAAGTTCTTTGATAAGAATCCAAACCGAGTTTTTTCGACACTTGAAGTACGAAAAGTATTACTTATAAATAATGAATAATAAGATTAGATTAGAATAAAATAAGGACCCACCGTATTTTCAAAAGCTCCATAACGATAACGATGTGAACACACAAAATTATGTTGTAATGCCTTTTACTTGTGTCATTCTCAACAATACCAATCGAGGCTTGCCATCATTAATGCAAATATTTAAATCAATCTTCCAAACACTATTACATTTTGTACTTGCACCGTAAGAATGATGTCACTTTTTTCTCAGAATTAATTGATAAATTTCTTATCTATGCTATAATACAACTAACTCAAAACCGGAAGTTCAAACAAAAATTAGAAATTCGACTAAAGAAAGATTAAAGTCTTTTAATCTAAAACATTTTTATAACTTCTATTTCAATCATTTATTCCATCCATCGAAAGTCTTTTAAGAGCAGGCCGCCATGTTCTTTTTCCGAGTCATTAACAGATTGGTACTCTGGAATTACAAACAATTATTTTTCATTGCACGAGCTAGTATAAATTAAATAAATTTCAAATCAAATCTCAATAACCGAATTTTATATTTTGTGCACTAAGAATAACATATTGCAGAAATTTTTCAGAAAACTAATATGCAAATTGTAATCTGTTTTACTTATATTAGTTTATCCTTTGACTTTCTATTCCAACGACATTATCCTATTTTCTTTTGCAATGATACGTGTTCAATTTTGACAGCTGCAATGTATCTCATTTTATTACACCTAACATATTTTATAATAAATTGACGCAGACGATTTTTGCACATGGATTTATCACAATTTTAATTTTATTTTTGACAAGGTATATATGACTTTTATATTTGTATTAGATTTAATATTTTGTGACAAGGTTAATAAGACATTTAGTAGTTGAATTTTTAAACTATGTTAAATTTTATATTTTTATCAGGATCAAAGATAAAAACACATACAAATACCAACGTTCAAATTTTATACACTATCTATGGAATCTATGATTTTTTAACAATATGAACATTGTATAATGATAATTTAATTTTAAGGAATATTATTGTATCATTGAAAATGACCCGATCGGTGTCGAGACGTCTGAAGTTGTATTAATATATGAATTAAAATAATTTGTTAAATTAATTTGGTTCTACGCTCTAGTTATATTTTTATATTGTTTTATTTATATTTTTTAAATTTATGGTAGAAGTGCATAAATAGGGAGGCCAGCGCTATGACCTTGACCATGATACATGTCAAGGTCATGACCCTGAGTGACCTACAACAAGTTTTAGCCGTCGCTCGTCCTTCGTTAGAAAGTTATTAACAATCATAGTTAAAAAATTAACGTATTATTTCTGCTGTACACGTATGATATTAAGTGCTATTCTACACCTTTCTCTGTTCAGAAATGTTCAATTTTCTGCGCAAAGTAACTTTCACCCCCTCCTCTCGTTGCAAAGAGGTACACGTTTTCCATGATTGTACTGTTGCTATAACTGTACTGTTGGGGAAGACCCCTACCGACGGGGCGGCTGCGGGAGTGGGGCGGGCCGTAGGTCCGCCCCCTTGCACCACCCCTCCCGTGTGTGTGTGTCTGCGCGTGTGCGTGCGCGCGCGCGCTACCAAATCGTTTTATGTTGTACAGTGTTTGCGTGAATGCAGTAGGTTTTGCCCCCCAAGTATCGAATTTTAAATATAATTACAGTAAACATACAATCATACAAAAATACATCACACATTCACGCGCGTACGCACGCACGCACGCACGCACGCACGCACGCACGCACGCACGCACGCACGCACGCACACACTCACGGGGGGGG